GGGACCAACCCTTCAATTAATGTACTCACGAATTTTAGTACGCAAATACTGATTAAAAGTAACGATAATTATTTAATTAAACGGGTCTTTAACTCTTATATCCGAAAGTCAAATAAACTTTTAATTAAAATCATTTAAGGTAACAATTTTGAGTGTTCGAAATTATAGACAGATTGTTTTAAAAATTATAAGAATTAATAGAAATAATGTTACTAACAATAATTTGTATGTAAACAGCAATGTTGTAGCACCGACAAGCATTTTATAAACGAAGGAAAATTAAAGAAAAACTATGTATCCATTAAATTTTTATAGTACTTAGATATATAGTATTAAGACCGTTTAGTTTTAATTAATGTGTCACACATTTTTTGATTAAACATTTATTCTATTCGAAAATAAACTTGTTATTCCGATAAAATTTCAAAAAAATTTTTTATTCATGACATTCAACACATTCAAAATTTTTTGGTGTTATTCTAATTTTTGTCGAAATCTTTAAACTTTCTAAATTACAAAAAAATTTTATATTTTATTTTAATTTAAGTTCCTCTCTCTTTGTTAATTATCCCCTCCAGTGAGAGATTCTTCTTTAGTTTCCGGTGTTTGGAAAGGGAAAAGTTTTTTCCTTTCATCAAATTTAATATCAGAAATTAACAATTCCGCAGTCTTCTCCAATAATTCCCCAATATCCATTTTTCCAAGTGCTTCACTATAAATAATTATTTTTTTTTAATAACCAGGGCTGGGCCTAAAAAATATCTAATTATAAAGTATAACTACACAAATATTTTTTATTAATATATATATATAAAAAAAGTTACTTTGCCTATAAAAGTAGTGGTTTTAGCTAGAAAAAAGTCCCACACTTTCCAGAGTTGAGATACGGGCTTGAAAGTTTTACATGTCCGGGGTCAAATTTCATGTAGTATTCAGGAAAATTATGACTTTGGGGGTACCTCTATTCCTTTGTACCTAAATCGTGTCGGTACCGAGGATATCTCCGGAACGGATAAAGATAGAGAAAAAGTTCCGCCGGGAGGGCGTTGAAGCTTGATTTGGAGATGATGAAACCAAAAAACCCGATGTCGAAATGTCAAGTCTAAAGGTCGATATGCCTGACACAAAATTGGTTTTTCGGTAAAATGTCCGATTTTTCGGAAATGACGAAATCCTGGGGGCATATCTTATAGGTGAGAGAGAAAATGTGATTGATGGGTGAAATTTCGAGTTGAAACAAGGTAAAGTCGAAACTGAAGCAAGTTTCGAGTTGAAGCAGGGGAGGTTGAAGCAAGTTTTGAGGGGTCGAACTTCGGGATCCGGGTTTTTTGGGATTTCTAAGTATGGGTGAGTAGGTAGTCGTTTGAGAGCTGGGAGTGAGGGAAGTTAAATGGGAAAAGGGATAACGTCGAAAGTCGAAGTTCGGAGTTCAAACTTCGAAATCCGGGATTTTTGGGATTGAGAAGCATGGTCGAATGAGTACTCATTCAAGAGGGGATGTCGAGGGAGTATAATGGGATAAGGGATGAGGTTTAAAGTCGAAGTTCGGAGTTCGAACTTCGAAATCCGGGATTTTCGGCATTGGGAATTGGGGTCGAATGAGTACTCATTCAAGAGGGGATAATGAGGGGAGATCAGTCGGATATATTAGAATGTCTAAAGTCGAAATTCGATGTCGAACTTCGAAATCCGGGATTTTCGGTATTCCAAATATTGTCGAATGAGTAGTCATTCGAGAGCGGGCAGTGAGGGGGAGTTCACTGGGATTAATAAAAATGTCGAAATTTGAACTTTTAGAAGTCGAAGTTCAAGATTAGACATTTCCGGGATTTGAGATTTCAAGGGATATGGTCGAATGAGTAGTCATTCGAAAGCATATTAGAAGGGTATTCTAATTGGATTAGCCAAAATATCTAATTTCGAAGTTTGGTTTGAGATCCGGGATTTGAGTCTGGAACTGAAATGGTTTTCAGACTCTAACTTTGTTTAAAAAATTTTTAGAATTTTTCCGACAACGGATTTTTTTCGAAAAACCCAAAATTTTTCGGTTTTTTGAAAATTTTTCTGGATTTTTGCCAATGGTTCGGGCTGAGTGTATTTTTCCTGGATTAAGCAGATTTTTCTTCATCGGATAAGATTTTAAAATTTTAAAAAAAGATCTATTTTGAAAAAGTTATGATTTTTTGAATATTTCAGTGAGTTTTTCCGGCAGAAATTTCCGGCCAAAAACTTTTAATTTTAAAAATCAAGATAGATATGGCGAATGATATATCATTCGAAAGCTCTTATTGAGCTGGATATAAAAATATTTTTTTCGAAATTTTTTGGAGCATCTTAACGAAAATACAAAGGTTCGAAGATTTATGGGGTGGAGTACCGTACATGGAAAATTATGGTAGGGAGAGAGAAAAAGTGATTGACAGGTGAAATGAGTGGAAGAGAAGCAAAATTATTCTGCGTCTCTGACCATACGGGGCAAACCGTAGAAGAGTTTAAGGGCGAATTTTGTATATTGGGGGAAATTTTGTGGGATGATAAGCTGGATCCTGTTATGGATCCGAAGCAGAAGCATGCTTATGCTTCAACTTTTTGCTTCAAGTTTTTAATTTTTGAAGCAATTTTGCTGCAAATTTTAAAATTTTGATTTGTGAAGCATATTTCACCAAATTTGAAATTTTTGTTTTTAAGTTTTGATCTAAGCGGAAGGATGAGTCCCAACGGGGAAAAGAAGAGGGCCGAAGGCCCGAAGTTATGGATCATAAGCAGAAGCATGCTTCTGTTTTTTGGTTCAGGTTTTGAATTCTGATTGGAAGGATGAGTCCCATCCTAATCGTTATAGGAATAGGATCGTGTTACGAGCCCAGAACCCAGTGGAAGGATGAGTCCCAACTGAGGGAACACGAGAGCCGAAGGCCCGAAGTGACTAAGTGTAAGGTTGAGTGAGGGAACACGAGGGCCGAAAGCCCGAAGTGACTAAGTGGAAGGATGCGTCCAAAATTGGGGAAGACGAGGGCCGAAGGCCCGAAGTGCCTCTAAGTGAAGGATGACTCTAAGTGGAAGGATGAGTCTCAAATTGGGAAAGAGGAGGGCCGAAGGCTCGAAGATTGAATTGTTTTAGCTCCTTACCAATGCAGTCCGTGGAGTTTTTGCTGCTGCGAAGGAAGCCAGGCATGCACTTCTCATCGTTATAGGAATAGGATTATGTTACGAGCCAAGAACCCAGCGACCGTTGACTCCCCGCGAGGCGCGTGCCGCAAAACCCCGCGCGAAGCGCGGGGTTTTGCACAAGCGCCTCGCCTACGCTCCATAGGTTTACGTTGACCATTTTTAACCTGGCTAAGGCCCTCGCACTCCCATCTAAAAGGGATGGCGAGGGGCTGAAGGCCCGAGCTTACATTCATTTAAAAGTGAGGGCGAGGGCCGAAGGCCCGAGATGACAATTATCTAAAAGTAAGGGCGAGGGCCGAAGGCCCGTGCTGGCACCCAATCTAAAAATGAGGGCGAGGGCCGAAGGCCTGACACCCATCTAAAAGGGGGAGCGAGGGCCGAAGGCCCGAGTTGATACCCATCTAAAAGTGAGTGCGAGGGTCGAAGGCCCGAGATGACAACCATCTAAAAGTAAGGGCGAGGGCCAAAGGTCCGAGTTGACACCCATCGTCTTCCCCAACGCGGGGAAGACGAGGGCCGAAGGCCCGAAGTGACTCTAAGTGGAATGATAAGTCCCAGCGAGTGGAAGACCCGAAGTGACTCTAAGTGGAAGGATGAGTACCAAAGTGTCTAAAAGGAAGGGCAAGTGCCGAAGGCCCGAGCTGACACCCAAAAGAGAGGAGAGGGCCGAAGGCCCGAAGCAATAAAAAGGCAGTCTAAACTCTTCTTCCAAGCATCCAAACTTTCTAGCAGCGCGCGAAGCGCGCCCCAAAGCCGATAGGCTTTCCAACGGGCACAACAAAATAAACCGCCATAGTATCCTAATAGGCACCCAGCTATCCGCCGCCATCAGTGGTAAACCCATCGCTAGTTTTTATATTAAAAGATTTTTTAATTCTTAAATTTTCCAAATTACAAAAAATAAATTTTATATTTTTTGTAAATTTCAATTTATTAAAATTTAATTTTTATATTTAATTTTTAAATTATTAAACAAAAAATTTTTTTATAAATTATACATAACCGTTTAATATTCAAAAAGCTTTATTTTACATTTAAAGGTGTACATACAAACATTTAAAATTTATTTAATATTTCTCTTCACACTTCTCTCTCTTTTTAAAAAAATATTTAAAAAAAATTTCTAATAAAATTTTATAAAATTTTATTAAAAAATGGAATTAATAAATAAAAATAAATATCAATTAATAAAGAAAAATATCCAAGTTCTAACAAAATGTTGTATTTGTGGATGTATTGCTAGTGGATTTATTTATTATAATGTTATGTGTTGTGATGGTAAAAATAAAATAAAAATAAAATATTTAAATTAATTAAAAGGTTGTAAACACTTTTTTCGTCGTTGTCTTATCGCAAAAGAATTATTTAAATGTAAATTTGATGGAAATTGTGAAATAATGAATGGTATTAAATTAGAAAAATTAGGCACTATATGTAGAGGACACGGGTGATTTTTGTGGACCTTTTTTTAAATATACATAAAGATGGTCGTCGACGTAAAATTGTTGTTGAAGCTGCCCTCTAAGCCCGTAGTCTAATTTTAAGTGTTAGGTTACCTGGGTAACTTTCCCCTAAAAATCAAAAAGAAGAGAGAGTTGATAAGTTGGTCAAAATTTCTGATATTTTGGTGCTTTTAAAAATTTTCTATGAGTGAGAACCCGCTGCTCAGGGTCAAGTGGCGCTGACACTATCCGGCTAATGCGTTAATATATTTAAAAGAATCCGTCAAAAACCCTTCCAGTCAGTCTTCATGGCTAAGAATTTACTAAAATAATTATTTTTTTAAAGTTTCTAATAAATGCAAAGGTTGCCGTTTTGATAAATGTATTTTAATGGGAATGAATAAACAAAAATTGAGAAACTCAAAACAATCAAAATCTATATGGGAAATACGTTCAGTAATAGAACAACGTTTAGGAGAACTTGCTTTGAGAGGAAAATATGTTGAAAAAAGAAATGAAAATATTGCTAATATTGAAATAATTGTGGGTTATAAAATGTTTTTAAATATTTTGTGTATTTAATCAGATTGATGGGATTAAATTAGGGTTGTACCTCGAACGCTCGAGGGCTGGTGCGAACTTCCCTCAAAAATACTGCTCGGGAATGGGGGTTTATATGCTTTCAGGGCGGGGTCTGGGTTGGGGATAAGTGTGAAAAAATCGTTCGGGAAAGAGGTCGGGGTAGAACTCTAAATTAATAAATATACATATTTATAATGATTTACAATATTCAGTGAATTAATCTAAAAATTAAATATATTTTATTTTTTATTTAAAAAATATTTTTTAAAGGAATCATTATTTATTGAAAATGAAGAAACAAAAATAATTGAAAATTTATTATTTTTAGAGAAAAATACTAAAAGAATTAGAAATTCACCTACACAAGTAACAGATAAACATTACAATTTTTCTTATAAAACGTTAAAGGAAGTATTAATTAATCGAAAAGAAAATATAATATTTTTAAGTAATGAATATTTGGTTTGTTTTTTAAATTAATTTTTGAATAAAAAAATTATTTTTATAAAGGATGAAGAACAAAAATATCCAAAATCAGATTTTCTTGAATTTATTAAGAAAAACGGTCTTTTTGCTTTGAGACCAATTTCATTAATTGAAGATTTACTTATAGTAATTGATACAGCAAAAACAATGCCTTTCTTTCATAAATTGGAATTAAATGATATTGTAAATAATAAATATATAAGGGATCGCGCCGACCCGATTCCCGAAAGTCGGGAACTTGATTTTCTGTCGGCGCGATCCCTGAAACGATACCTGAAACAATTACAGTTAAATTTCATAATAAAATACACCTTTGGGAATGAAAAACCGTGTATTATAATAAGTACTTTAAATAGAGGGTATTGCTCTTAGGCACTAAGAATGGCTGTTTCTGGGAAATCTCCCGAATCGGAACCAATATCTAAACCAAAAATCTCCGGAACCGGAACCGACAACTTTATTAGGCACTCCCCCCAAACCTTGTCAACTAAATTAAAATTAAATATTATTGTGTGTGTGTTTGTGTAAACTTAATGTCCAACCGCAAATAATATTTATTCTCTAAAAGATATGTCAACTTACAAATATATCTCTGCCTTTAATAGCTTTAGCAAGCGAATATTATTCCTGCAATAAATGGTCAAGAACAGTTATAAAAACAAATGGATTACCTGTAGTTGCGGCATTTAGTGGAGAATATTATAAAGGGGATTTAACGTAAATATTCTTTAAAAAAATTTAAAATAAAAAATTTTTTTTCAAAAAAGATTAAATAATTTACTCCAAAAAATATTTACAAAAGTTATGGAGCCTTTTAATCGAGTGCAAATGAATGAAGAGGAATACGTACTTGTTAGTTCCATAATTTATTCAAATTTTGTCTCGCCTGGACTTAGTAAAGAAGGACAGAAGTTTTTACTTTCTGAGTCTGAAAAATATTCTGGAATACTAATGAGAATGTCACAGGTATTTTAAAGAATTCTGGAAATTTGGAATTTTGGTTAACAAGATATATATAAATTAAGTGTAGAGCACGGAATTTTGTCAAAACCGGGAACGGGAAATTGTAGCAGAAAAAACCAGGTCGGAACCGAGAAGACCGGGAATTCCCGATTCAGGTTTCATAAGTCGAGTCGGATTTCGTGTCGAGTTTTGAAAATTTTCCTCGGGTCGGGTCGAAAAAGCCGGGTTTCGCTATATGCTTTACAATATCTTCCAAGAAACAATAATTGTTTTATATAAATTCAGAATCGTTATGGTCCATTAGAAGGAGCTAGAAGATATGCAGAATTGCTTCATTTAATCGAATTTTGCTTCAGATGTGGAAATAATTTAAGTTATTTTCTAAATTATTTGGATAAAGTAATAGATCGTGGCCGCTTTGAAAAAGTCATGCCCGAACCACTCATTGATCTTTGCCTTCGTTGTAAAGATCTGGAATTGGAGGGAAGCACACAAATTTAAACTTTATTACCATCTAATACAGAATTTATAAAATTTCGGAATATTTTACCTGGGATTCAGCAAAGTCCACAAATTAGTATTTAAAATACCAGCCCCTCTATTAAATTACCCATTCTCGCGAGAGATAAAAACATTAATTACCCAGGGTAATTATTAAATTTATGTTAAGAAAATAAATAAATTCTTTGATATGTATAAATTTATTCTATGAAAGCATTTGTAAATTCCAAATTATTTTCAAAAAATTTTTCTTTTCAAAAATTCCCTATAATTTTATACTTCCTGTAGATCTTCTTCTAATATGTCCTTTTCCTTCGTTTGGAATATTTAATTTATTATTTTTTAAATTTCCAATTACATTTTTATTTTCTTTCCCCTCATCTCCACTACTTTCTGATAAAGAATTGCTTTCTTCAAAATTATTATTCTTATTGTTTTGCCAAGCTGCGCTTCTAAAAATTATTTTTTAAATTATTTTTGGGTTTAATAGATCTTTGCAGAGGTGGGTCGGAACAGTCAAAGGTGTTGGAAATTGGAATTCCGACCCACCTTTGGATTTTTGAAATAAATAATCAAATTGTCTCAGTTCATCTTAGGAATCTAGCTGAATCTAGCTGACGTAAAAAAATTTTGGGAGTCCAGTCGACTTTATTCCTGGTCATATTTACCTGTAGACTTTTGTGTGTATTAAATTCCTCTCCAATTTATTAATTTCAAATTTTTGTTCAAATAAACTTCTATACCAAAATTCTTCTTTAGTTTCCGGTGTTTGGAAAGGGAAAAGTTTTTTCCTTTCATCAAATTTAATATCAGAAATTAACAATTCTGCAGTCTTCTCCAATAGTTCCCCAATATCCATTTTTCCAAGTGCTTCACTAAATCCTTCTTTACTTCTCCACAAAACTTTTGGGGGCAATAAATCTTTGAAAGTTTTCCTCAAAATATATTTTTCTATTTTTCCAGAAATTAATTTAAAGCTTGGTTGAAGTCGAGAAATGAATGAAACAAATTTTTTGTCCAAAAAAGGAACTCGAATTTCCAATCCATGTGGAGATGTACATCTTTAAATAAAATTAGAGGAGATTGGATTATAAGTAGAATTAGGGTTTTATGTACTCCATATCCTCTAGGGATATAGAAACTGGGTATTTTTGAAGGTTATTTTTATGGGTCATGAAATTTTTTTATCTATCGTATATACTGAATAATTACCCTCTCTCTGATAATTAATCACCCCCTTTTAGACCCCTCTCTCAAATATTTTTTCTAGTACATATTATGAAGCATGAAATTTCTATCAGGAATATTCTCTTTTAATAAAAAATAAAAATATTCACCGGTCACAACGAAGAACATCATATTGGTGTAATAGTTTCAAACGACGAAGAACCTCTTGATGAAGTAATAAAGCTGTTGGGGCTCTTTGCATATAACTATAAGAACCAAATAATTCATCTGCTCCTTCTCCTAAAAGAATTTTTCCCAAAATTTTTCCTTAAAAATTACCGGAAAGAAGAACTTTAACATTAGAATTATTCGAAATATATCTACACAAAATAAAGTGAGGAATCCCACAACGAACAACTAAAGGATCGAATGTTTCTAAGGCGTAGATAACCTCTAAAATGAAATAATTAATTTATAATTAATTTTTAAAATACCAGGAATAATTTCGATGCATTGTTGAGGGCTATAAAAAGAAAATAAAAAGATATTTTCGATTCTATAAAGATTTTTTTATTAATTTTTTTCGTTCCCTAGCAGGTTACAGAGCTTTGTGTAGTTAATTAAAAATAATTACATAACAAAATAATTAATTTTCAATAGGAAATTATTTTATTAATAAAATTGTGTTTTAAATATTCAAGATTAAAATCTTCTTATATGATAAATTAGTAGAGTTGGAGGATTTAAATTTTTCTGATTTTAAAATAAACTTTCTACTTTTTAAATTAATTTAAATTTAAAAAACCAACTTAATTACTAAAACTCTATGGGGAATTCTTAAATAATTAGCCACAATTCTAGCATTCTCCAAATCTGCCGAATCAGAAAATCCAACAGAAAAGGCAATAGGTAAAGAACGTCCACTAGCTATTAATTGTTGGGTAGCCAATGCTGAGAAATTGAATTTGAAAAGAAAAAATTTATTTCTTTTTTTACCGGCAATCAAAGAAGAATCTAATCCACCTGACAGCATAAATCCAAATTGTCTTTCACCCATTAAACGTTTGTGGACTGCTTCCACCAATAATTGCCTTATTGCTGTCTGTGAAATTTTAAATAATTTTGGGTGCTAATTTCGAGATTGTTATTAATTTTCGTTCCCATGTCTCTTTTTTTGTTTTAATTATATCTTTTCCAATAATTTTTTCTCAAAAAAATTAAAATTTTACTTGAGCATCCACAATTCCAATATTAATTTCAATTGCCGGATTTCCAATCTTCCAATAAGAATTAATTTCCAATTTCCAGTCTGTCAGATTATTTTGAATATTTTTTAAAGGAATTTTAGCACAACATCCAGGCGGAAAGAAAGATATTTGATCACATAATTTTTCAATGCTTTTAAGCTCAGAGCCGAAGAATAAACCTTTTTATTTTCATTAGAAATTTTTTAAATTTTTTAAATTTTTATTTGAATGAAATAACTAATAATTTTTAATGGTTGGTTAAGCCTGGGGTTTTGAATCGCTTCTAGAAAATCCATACAAAAAATTTACTTTTTCCATTAATTCCATAAAATAGGGGCCTAATTCCAAGAGGATCTCTTCCAACATAAACAAAATTGTTATCAGACATAATAAATGCAAAAACGCCATCTAAAGATGAACAGCAATGACGTAAATCACGCCCATTTTCTAAGAAGGAATGAATTATAGCAGAACAGTCACTGCCACCATTCCTTATTTAAAATAATTTTTTAATAATAATTAACACATTTGGACACTTTTGTTTTATTAATAAAGGGGCAAGATGTCGGGTGAAATGCCTGAGAGCTGAAAATTATTAGTCTCCATGTATCTAATATTTTCTTCTTAAATAAAGTTGGAATATCTTATATGTAAAATTGTGTGTGGATATCTTATAAAGCCTCAATTAGATAAAGTATCTTCTGACTAAAATTGTTAGTTGGATGAGGGAATCTTATAGAAATGCTTTTTTCTTTGTAAAAGCACATTAACTTAGCCTTTTTTGGGACTTTCCATAGTCATTAAAAAGTGAATTTTTATAGGGGAATTCGTGATTGTAAAGTTTTTAGGGCATTTTAAAAATTACCTAACAAGTGAATTGTCAAGAGAAGATTGTCTTTTCAAAATTAAATGATTATATATTTCTCCATTACATACAACAGACAAATCTTGAGCACAAATTGGTTGTGTACTTGTATTTATTTTTGAATTATTTGATTGAATTATTGAAAGCCAATGAAATCCTAACCAAACATTTGGAGCTACTCTTTGAATTACTGCCAAGTCTGGACCTCTTCCAGCTATTCGAAGAAATTCTGTTTGGTGTTTTGTTGGTTGGTATTCTTCTCCCTTTTTTTAATTTAAATTTTTAATTAATAGAATAATTTGCTATTTGGTTGAGAAAGAGTTAAGTAAAAGTTTAGCCACTGGGCAGGATTGAACCTGTTACCTCCTCGTAGTTATTGCTAGGCGCTTTCGCTCAACACATACGGGAGCTAATACCTTTCTTTTATCTTTTTAGGCCGTTTAACCCCCGCCTAAGCGTTTTTAATGCTCTAGGTGAATCATACACTTGGGCCATTGTTTTTAAGCAGATATTTTAAGCAGATATTGTTGGGGGGGGGGGGGAAGGAGGAGGGACATTCAAATTTTTAGGAATGCCCAATATTTATTAAGTTAAAAATACTTAAGGAAAAGCTTTAAGTAATTAAAAATAAAAATTTATAAACTTACAAGGACTGCCCAAATTCCGCACATTTTAAATATTTCTCAATAAAATATGCTAAAATAAAAATTTAAATTTTAATTTTTAATTACTAATTTGTGTTTGAGATAAAATAATTAAATTAGAAATATTTTTAATTTAAAGTAAAATTCCCTGCTATTATTTGACAAATTTGTTTCTATTAAGTTAATTTCAATTAAAAGTTACCTACAAATATATTTTTACTAACACAAAAATTATTAAAGGGTTTATGAAATTAATTATAGGAAAAAGATGACTAAATAAGGTAAATTAATTGGTTGAGTAAATAAACTATAAGTTTTTATTTAGTATTTGAATAGTCAGTTCGAGCAGAATTTTAAAGATCTAGATAATAGAGACAAAATGAGGGTTCCCTAATGTAGTTACTCCAGTCCATTAAACCTCAGGATTTGTAGACCTATGGAAGTTGGATTAAAACGATTCTTATTTGATTCTATTTATCTCATCAAGTTGTAGGTAAATAAACAGATTTTCTATTTTATTTTACAATTTTTGCTTTGCTTTAAGACAAGGAAATAAATTGGCCTAGATTTAAAAACATACAAAATTAATTTTCGAATCTATAGGCGAACACTAGACATGTAATAAAATTAAAATTAAAAGATTTTAAGGAAGAATTTAATTAATTTATCTTTCCTTAATTCATTAACAAATAAAAAATAATATAAACTTCTGTCGTTTTTATATATTCAATTGTTCCTCAATTTATTTTTATTTGCTATATTACAACAAATAAATAAAATAAATATTTTTTTTTATTTATTTTGCAGAAAGCCACCCGAATAAGAAAAGCTTCTCTCCCTCCCTCTCAGACTAGTCTTGGCCATTAATTCCTTTTCCCTTCCTTCTTCCTTCTCTTTTGTTTTAATCCAAATAACAATGCTTGCTTCAATATTTGCTTTCTAACTCAAATCACTTTCTTTTTTTTAATTCTTCCTCAACAATTTACTGATCCATCTTTTTTTTTAAAAAAGAGGGAGAAGACAATTCATTTCATTGTTTTAATTATTTAGTAAAAACAATTTTTAGCTTAAAAGAAAATTTTAAAAAATGAAAATTTCAAGTAGAAAAAAAACAAAAATAGCGGAAACGCGGTTGAAAAGATTTTTGTATTGTTGTTGTTGTTTAATAATATAGACAAGGATTTGTAAAAGATGATTGTTTTGAGTAAATAAATAAATATTTATTGTTTTCCTACAAATTATCAAATAATAGAAGAAAACTTGTGACGAGCAGGAATAGGCGCAAGAGCCAATTTTGAAAAAAACAGAAAAGAATAAAATCAACGCAAATAACGCAAAACGCAATGATTATGGGTGATGAGTATATTTAATATTCTAGGCAGAAAAAATTAATCTTCTTCACCATTTTGGCGATTGAAAAATTTTTGTATAAATGATTACCATTTTGAGGAAATCTCTTGGAGGATATGCCTTGAAAGTACGACAGATATACATAGACTCATGATATACCCGGGGTACATGTAAATTTATTACTTAGCAATAGAAACTTGGTCAAGGCCTTTCACTGGTTTTAACGATTGTAAAATCTAATAAAAGATGTTAAATGTCTAAGGCACAAATTGTAAGCACATCTTCGGATAAGGCACACCCCAAAAGTTTCAGATCGAGATAGAAAATCAAGATATCGATGAAATTTTAATGATGATCTTATGATTGTATATGATTGTAATAACTTGATGATCAACACAAACTTGAACCTTAATATCTTCAAAAAAGTTAGTTTTTATTTTTTAAATTAACTCAAATAAATTTTATTTATTTTTTGCTTTCGCTCACATAAAGTCGCCTTATTCTTCGATTTTTAAAGAAACACCATTAACGCTCAATGACTTGACACAACCTTAATACAAAGAAAAAACTATTTCTTGTGTAATTATAACCCGACAAATCTACAGAGTATATCCTCTCAATTAGATTTATAAAAATTGTCTAGAAAATATATAATCCGAAGATTACCAAAAAGAGAATAAAGTAGCTGAATGCCCGGCATAATTTTCTTCAACAAAATGATGAACTCTCAAATCCCATTAGAAAAATTTTATCTTTTATTATTAGTTAATAATATTATAATTTTACAAATAAATTGTACTGCTATAGACAATGATGATCTTGGTGATTATTAATGAGATTCTTAATTAAAATAAAACTAATTTAAAATTTATACGAGAATATGAGATTCAAATTCAGAAAAATAAATTTTTTTAAAAAGAAAGCTAAAGATACTCTTGCACAAACCTCAAATTTTATTTAAGAGAACCTTACATTAATTATTTCCAATATATTTTTTAAAATTATATTTTAGAAGAATATCCTAATCAAAACAAAAATCTCCAAATGATTCAAGCAAATAAAAAAGGAAAGGGTTCAATTTCTCGCGTTTCTTTTGAAGGAGAAGAGTTGAAATATTTGGAGGATTTTGAATTGAAAATGGATAAAAATGATGGAGATAAAGAAAATAATATACAATTAATGCCTAAAAATAATTTACAACCGGTTAGTTTAGTATTTGTTAGATGGATTTTTCTGTACCGTAAATTTTCTATTTGAATTCTTTAATTATTTGATCGCCTCTAAGTACCGGGCGTTGTCTAATAAGTTGCAAGAAAAGTTCCTAATCCATTTAGTATCCATTAGAATTAGAAAAATCGCTTTTAATATTAATTTATACTGTAATAATTTCCCAAATTTTTTCCCTGTTCATTTAGTAAATAGCAAATTAACTTTAAATAATTAAATTTTAAAATAAAGTTTCAAATATTCGTGCCATCAAATATTGACAAACAAAATAAAAATGAAAAAGTTAAAATTACTTCTGATATGGATAAAATTAATAAAAACATAACTCAAATTGACTATAATATTTTGGCAAGGGCATTAAAGGTTTGTTTCAAAATTAAAATTTTGGACAATAAATTCGAAGTTTAATCACTTTCAATTTTCCTAAAAAATTCAGAGATAGGGAAAAGATAACTGAAAATTGGCAGGCCGGGAATGCCAGAATTCCCAATATTTTATTTCAGAATCTTAAAAAGGATGGGTATTAATAAAGACTAGAGTTGGTCGAGGCTTCGCTGAGGCCGAGGACCTTGCCGAGGCCAATATCGACCTCGATCCCTGCTTTTCCAGCCTGGTAACCTTCGGTCTCGGTTTATTCAAAAAACCTCTAACTCGACCAACTCTAATTAGGACTGAACGCACCGGTACGTATCTTAAGGGTGTATATTATTTATGTAGTTATTACTATATTTAATTAAATATTTTTCTACATATAGAATTTTATTAAAAACAAGAAGAAATTAAATTTATTTAATGAACAAAATAAAAATAATACTGATGATTTAAATATTAGTACTTTATTAAATCCAAAAAATGTTAAAAGCAATATTTTAATAGAAGAAATGCCTTTTTCTAAAATAATTAAAGAAAAACAATTGGAAAGAGGAACAGAAAACTTAGAAAATAAAACAAATAAAAATTTAGTAAATAATCAAAATAGTTCAAAAGCTCTCATTAATATTATTAGAGAGGTACGTATTAAAGTGGTGATATAATTTATTTTTAAAGGGGTGATATAAATTTGTTCATAGAAGATTGTAAGGCTGTTAATTCATAATTTTTGACTCAAAAATACTCTTATTAGGGCTTTGAATATCCTTTGGATATACTCGATATTATATATATTGAGTATTGGATATCCGGATTTCTGTGTCTATTAGGCAAGATAATATAAGGCTGATTCACCTAGCTTATTCGATTCCCCGGCTTATTCGATGCATTAGTCGATGCCCCGGTAGCTCAGTGGTAGAGCAGCTGCATTTGTGTGAGCAAGACCGAGCACCACTGTCAGCGTTGTTGCAGGTTCGAATCCTGCTCTGTGGCTAAACTTTTGCTAAACTCTTTCTATTATAATAAAGATAATAAAAGAAATATGAAAGATAATCAGTAAAAGCTTTCATAAATCCCTGACACAAATATCGCTGATAATTATTAAAATTTAATTTAAGGGTCTAGCAAGGCAATCAAATTTAGGATACACTTTTGTGGCAAGCATAACTCTAATAAAAGATGAAGGGAAAAATATTTTGGTAGATACAGGATTGGCTACAGATATAAATGGAAGGACAGATTTAATCGAAAGTTTAATTTAAAAAATATTTTAGAGAAATTTTTATTTAAAGAATTAGCAAATCTTGGTATTGCACCCCCAGCGGTTATTAATTTACTAATTAATAAATTTTTGTAAATTTTTTATTAAGATAAATATTGTGGTTACAACACATGGACATGTAAAAATAGATCATAATTGTTTTAATTTATAACATCCCTTTCTCTCTAATTTTAGGCTGATCATTCTGGAAATACAAATATATTCTCTGTATGATATTTTAAAAATGATTATACGGATTTACAGTAGAATCATTCTAACTAGGTTGCCTAAATGGCCCGACTCGGAACGAAAGATCGAGTCGGGCCTAAGATATTTGGCTCTAAAAAGACTGGTACGGCCCCTGAATCGATGAAATTGAGGCCCGAAAAAATGACTTGACCGTCGGCTCGACTCGAAAACGGCAACCCTAATTCTAACATAGAATCCCTCACTTATTTTCCTATATATGCTCAAATAAATTCGGTCCCGAATGGAGTGATTCTCGACTCTATTAATTTATTTAATTTTTAATTTAAAGGATGCAATTCATTATCAGGTATTTTTTATTAATTATTTCAAAAATCTATACAAAACACATTCAGAAAATTTAAAGGGAACAATTGTCCATCATCGAATGAAATTCAATTTTATTCGAATGAAATTCAACTTTTTGAAGTAAATTTAAATAAATTTAAATAATTATTATTTTTTATTTTAAATGTCAGAACAGAACATTTTCTTTAACTAAAAATATAAATTTAATTAAAACTCCAGGACATACTCAGGAAGATATTAGTGTTGTCGTTAAGGTATTTAAATAATTTATCAGTAGTATGAGAAGATCGACCCTATGAGAGGATCGAAAAATAGAAGCGATCTCTGGCTTAAGGTGGTAATTAATAGGGCGAGGGTAATTATTTGAGAATAAATTTTGAAAATATGCACCAAAATATGCAGTTTCCTAAAATATTTACCAAATATGCAGCAAAAACACTGAAAACTGTTTAATATATAAAATTCCAATTTATATTTTATTAATTTTTTACCATAATTCTAACTAGTATGATAATAGAAATTATGTCTATAATTTTTGGAGGGGTTATGTAAGAATAACCTTTATTTAAAATTACGGTTGGTACATATAGTGTTAATTAGCGATCGCCATGGATCGTGATCCCGTAGTGGATTTTATCCCGTCTTTTATCCCGCGTTTTGAGATAACCTGAGTAATATTGGGAGATTGGATAAAGGAGTGTTAAGGGATGTATTAAAAGGGATGTATTAAATCCCTTATGAGATTTTGTGTTATTAAGAGGGTCAATCAAAGGAAAGAAAGGCAAAGGAGAAAAATGCAACAAAAAATTTTTTTACAGAATGCCCGGACATTTAGGCCGCGAGCTCGATATTTACCAAGATTCTATAATAACGAATATTCTTAATAATTTTTTGATTTCTAATTAAAGAGAAATATAAAACAATTTTCCCAACAGAATACAGAACGTTATGGAACTGTAATTGTGGCTGGTGATGTGTTTATGACTGTGAAATTTTATTAAGAAAATTTTTTTGACCTTTAAAGAAGCTAATATTTACTTATAATAATTTTTTATTTAGGCAGAAGATATAGATTTACCAATAATGTGGAGACAAATGTCTTTGAATGAATTGGAACAAGAAAATAGTAGAAAATTAATTATTTGTTGTGCTGATTATATTGTGCCTGGACATGGAAAAATATTTAAAATTAATAAAATTATGAAAGAAAGATTTAATTGTAATGAAAATGAAAAGAAGAAAAGAAAAAAATTAGAAAATTGTTAATTTTTAATTACTTTTTAGTGTGAACATTTCTTAATTATGCATAATCATTTACTTAATATATAAAATTCCAATTTAAATTTTATTAATTTTTTACTATAATTCCGACTAGTAAATATAATAGCGTTTTCTTACGAATTTTTGGATGGTTATGTAAAAATAGCCCTTATTCTAAATTAAGAATTTTGTAAGCTGTTAGTTGTCATCGAACGGGATCCCGCAGTCGATTTTACGAATCCCGTCCCGGAAACCGTGTTTTAAGCGAAAAACGGAATCACTGGGATTTTTAAAACTCAATCCCGTTCCGGGATTCCGGGAATTTTTTTTACAAATTTACGGGATTTTTAATTATTCCATAAATTCCATCACGGAAAATGGAAGGAATCTGGGCCTTAAAAATTATACTATTTTCGCCTGAAGCGCTTTAAATGGAAGAAATTTGGCTTAAAAGTTATAACCTTCACATTTTCCTTAATTTTCGCCTCCATTTCCTCAATTTTCGCCTCCAATGGATGAAACCTGCGTTAACAACTTAACAGGAATATTTGAGGGATTTGGGTGTGATATCAAGAGATAAAGAAGTGATAAAGATAAGACTGAGGAGAAAACAGTGGATTACATAGGATAATATGTATATTTTTTACCATGAAAATTCCATAACTTATAAATAAATATCTACTTAATATATACAATTCCAATTTATATTTTATTGAAGTTTTTTCCAAATATACTATTCTAATTATTCTATTTGGCATTAATATAGATAATTTTTGGAGGAGGCCATTGAAAAATCGCCTTTATTTATTACTATAAAGAGAGGTCTCCATGGAACGGAAACCCGCAATGGATTTTACGGGATAGAAAAAGAATAATAGATCTAATTACTTATTAGTAAAATATTATTAATAACCAGAGGTTGATTGGAAGTCTGAGATTTCACGAGAGTTTTAAACTTTCCTCTAAAAAGTTTAAGTTTTTAGTTTAAGATTTTTTCCCAATTATTCGGTACTCAATCTACTCTACTATTTTCTAGGACAATGCATAACAGAAAAGAACATATAATTTTTACAATGGAAAACTTTTATATCTTTTTTTTGGTTTTGACCTTAACCAAATATTTATCTCTTTACTAAATCTTTCATATTTTATTACTTATTTATGTCTGCATTTGTAAAATTATTTAAAACTCTAATAAAATTATTTAAAATAATGTTAAATTTAAAGTATTTATTTAATAATAATCAAATATCTTTCGTTTTATTGGCTATTGGAATTTTTGTTTTTCGCTGTTTATTTTCTTCTTGGATTATAGATCAATTTAGGGACGATAATATTTTTGTTTTGAGAGCGTTTTATTATCCACAGAGTAAATTGTGAGTATATATCAGGTCTGTCTCGGGCTACTCGAAACTCGAAACTCTGACTTTTTCTCGACCCGAAACCCGATCCGAAGAAAATTTTGGAAACCAGACTCGAAACCCGATCCAACTTTTTTTTCATCCCGAGACATCCCTGGTATGTATCTTTTATTAAAAGGAATGAATTTAAATTATTAATAAAAAAAGACAAATAATTTTCATACGCTCCATGCTGGATCATTTAACAATTTCATTTTATTAAAGATACAACAGCCAAGAATCCCAACCTAATATAGTTGTGATTTTAATAAATTTGGAAAGAAGATTATTTATTAAATCAATTAATCCAGAATGTATATACGAAGGAAATAGATATTTAGCTAGCTTAGAATCTGTCCATGAAGGATATTCTCATGCTCCTTGCCGACTTGGGTTGTTTAGAATTGTTTGTCAACTTCCTTGGAGACAAGAGCCTCCAAACAATAAAATTGGAATTTCCCTACGAGGATCTCCAATAATTAAAGTTTTTTGGATTTTGGAGCTGAAAGATTATTATTTTCTTAGATTTCATTGAAGCCTGCAGATTCAAAATTTCGCCAACTAATATTCTGTCCGGGAAGAATGTTTTTATTTGAACAGGTAAAATATAATGATTATTTAAAAATAGATTAGATGATTTTTTAAACAAATTGGAAGGATTTTGGTATTATTTAGTTGAGGATATATTTAAAATAATTAAAGCAATGGATTAAAATAATACCGATTATTTAGATATTAAAAGGGAAATATAAAGGAACAAACTTATTTTCAACATCTTTCCCGAACAGGGATTTATGTATGTTATCTTACCTTTGTGATGTAGTCCATATTTGGCTATTATTTAATCCTTCCCTAAAAACAACACATTAAATTGGTTCTAATTAAAAGAGAGGTCTCTAACAACGAAAAATCCTTGACAGTAACGATAATTTTTTTAAAAAATCATGAAATGCACAACGGTCATGCTCTACTCTAATTTTAATTTTTTAAATAGTGGCATTTATTTTTGGCGACAATGGAATCAAATAAACTTCTTGGTGCTGATTTAATAATTGCACATATTCAATCAATCATAACTGAATTAATTCCTCTACTTAAAATTTATGAAAATGAAGGTATTTTACAAATAAGATCAAGTTTAAGAATGCCTGATAATCAAAAACAAAATTTGTTATTTAATCCAAATGAAGAAACCCTTTGGAATAATCAATTAATTAATTTTCACGAATGTTTATATGAATTTAAAGAAAGGTAGGTAGGGTACTTAAATAATAATAGTTTGCATTAATTTTCAGAAATTTCTTTTTAGTGCTGCATTTATTGGTTTTCCAGACTGGGATGATATTTTAATATCGCCAAGTGCTATTCCTTTTACAAAAGGATTAATGGACTTTTCTATGGCAAATCCTCAAGTAGCTGCTTTTCTTCCAAAAAGATATCCTGGACAAATAGAGATTTTAGGTACATGTTAGTCACTAGATTAGGCCTAACCCAAGGGCATAACTAGGCCAGTCTTTCGATTTATGTCGATTTATATTATCTTAATTTCTTTATCCCAGCACGCTTCTTTTAGACACAGAATTTTTTATGATTAAAACCTTCTAAAATTTTTCAGAGAAATTACTTTCTCGGTCTTCAACTTCACCAATCGAACATTTATTTCTTGAATCTATTAAATTCAGTGTTTGGCCTGAAGATGCTGAATTTATTAGTAAAATAATTTTGAGACCTCAATTAGTTAATTCTGTGGATTTACATGGAGTTGGGGAAATAATTGAAGGTTTTATTCAATCGGAACTGCCAGAAAATATTGCTTTCTATGTCCATGCTAGAGATTTTAAAGTAAGTTTAAAATATGGGTAAATAATTCTTTTTAGAATTAAAAGAATTGAAGATTGGCCTAAAAACATTAGTAGGGCAGTTCAAAATGATGCTTAAAACATTTAAATTTTTATAATTTCTTATTTGTATGTATACTCGTTAAATGATCTTAAGTTTGCCTTTAAGTTTTTCTTTGCCATTTTCGTTTAGAGAAAGGGTAGTACGAAGCTAGTGGATAACCAAAAATGTCCACTCCTGAAAGTTAATTAAACTTCCAGCATAAAGGATTACTCCTCTCTTTTTAGTGATTAATTACTCCCCTCTCCCTCTCTCTTGGGGTAATTAATTGAGTAAATATCATAATTTAAAATAATTTCCTTTAATTTTTGTAGAATGCCAGAATGACAGCCATTTTACCCCCAGCTCTTCTATTAACCAGAAATACACTTTTAACTTTACAAAAACACAATTTATCTTCATTTTCTTCTTCACCGCAAGGGACTCTTACCCTTAATAATTTTTCATCCTTAACAATTTTTCCCGAATTGGATCCCGATTCAGCCCAACTCTAGATAACACCCCCACCTTTATTTTAATTAATTTTCCGGAAATGGGCGGGGCTTGGTTTTTTTTATCCCTGTTAGAGTCTTTAGATTTAATGGAAGTTCATTATTAGAGATTGTTAAAAAAATTCCATTTCTAATTCTTTTAAGGCAAACCAGCTCGTCGTGTTAAAGATTGTTTCCTCCCTCAAGTAAATTTACTCAACGATGCTACCGAAAAATTGGCACAAGTCTAATGACCTAAAATTTTTTTAATACTTAAAAATTAGGCAGTCCATTTCTGTGCTCGTCATACACCTTTTACCCCCACAATTTATTTTCTTGATGGACATTCTAACGAAGAACACTGTTCGAGACAGGCATTGATTTGTAGAGGAGCGGCTGCAAAGCCGTTGGCCATTAGCTGTCCTCCAGGCAGTTTTTTAAAAATTATTTTAGAAAAGTTTTTTGAACAGTGCCAACTACTTTTTTCCTTATTTCTATAAAATTTTCAGAAAAATTTTTCAAAATTAAAAAAAAATTTCAAAGGCAAAAACAAATCCAACAACCTACCCCACTTATTTTTATTCTCCCTACTATTTCTTTATTTTAATTTATTTTCCGGAAATGGGCGGGGCTTGGTTAGACTGCTCAATTAAATAAAATAAATACACTTTTTCCGGAAACTTCTTCCGGAAGGAAAGTATTGTTAAATTAAAATACATAAAATAGTAGCCTTATTTTGCTGGTGTAAGTCTAAATTTTTCGAAAAAAAGTTTCTTAAATTTTTTTTAAATTTTTTAAAAATTACCTCAAAAAATTAATTTTAAGGCAAAATTCTTTTAATGAAAAATATGACATGTTCAAAATCACCCCAACATTGTAACCAAGCAATTAAAGAAAATATAACACCTATACGTACACATTTATTACGACAATTATGTGAGGAAAAAGGAGGGGTTCCTCTATTTCCCCAATCCTTGATGAAAGCAAATGAGGAAAGATGTAAAAATTGGTCTGTTTAATAAATCTGTAATTTATTAAGTGGGAAATAAATTTTCGGGAAAATAGTATAGAAATATGAGAGGTTAGAGAAAACATTCCGGAAACTATATTTTGTATTTTATGCTTTCCGGAAAGAATATTTTGTATTTTCTCCTAGTATAATACTTTCCGGAAATTAAATAATTTTCCGGAAAAATAGTATAAAAATATGAGAGGTTAGAGAAAACATTCCGGAAACTATATTTTGTATTTTATGCTTTCCGGAAAGAATATTTTGTATTTTCTCCTAGTATAATACTTTCCGGAAATTAAATAATTTTCCGGAAAAATAGTATAAAAATATGAGAGGTTAGAGAAAACATTCCGGAAACTATATTTTGTATTTTATGCTTTTCGGAAAGAATATTTTGTATTTTCTCCTAGTATAATACTTTCCGGAAATTAAATAATTTTCCGGAAAAATAGTATAAAAATATGAGAGGTTAGAGAAAACATTCCGGAAACTATATTTTGTATTTTATGCTTTCCGGAAAGAATATTTTGTATTTTCTCCTAGTATAATACTTTCCGGAAATTAAATAATTTTCCGGAAAAATAGTATAAAAATATGAGAGGTTAGAGAAAACATTCCGGAAACTATATTTTGTATTTTATGCTTTCCGGAAAGAATATTTTGTATTATATACGTTCCGGAAAAATGTATTTTGTATTTTCTCCTCTTTCCGGAAATTATATTCTGTATTTTTCCCAAGAATAATACTTTCCGGAAATTAAATAATTTTCCGGAATATTATTTCCGGAATTTACTTTTTCTTTCTCTAACATTTAATGTATTTTCCGGAAAAAGTGGAAAATAAACTTTCCGGAAAAATAATATAGAAAATAAGGAGATGTTAGAGAAAACTCTCTTAACCAGTCTTTTTCTATAATCAATAATTTTAATAAAAATTTTTAAAAAATAGGTATGCTGTCTGCGAGGAATTTAAAGAGCCCGAATTTGTCTTCTGTGATGGAGGAAAGATTTTTGACCAAGAAAGGGGGTTATGTAGGCGCATACTTCCTGAAGACCAATGTCCACATCTTAGCGCTTGCAGGCAACTTAAAAATTTTTTCCTTTGTTTTTTCATCTAATCCTCATTTCCTTTAAATCTCTCCTAAAAATTAAAAAAATTTTTTTGAATCTTAAGAGGTTGGGAGTGGAGGATGAGTGCCATAGGCGACTGCCTTCCCCAATTTCTTTTCTGTAATGGAATGCGACCACAACTTTTTCAATGTCATCGTCCTGGTGATGTTTTTAAAGATGGAGAGTGCGTACCGACTGATATTGCTAAATGCAACGTTTGCCAGCCAGGGGAAATGAAACGTTCAACTGATAAATGCGAGCAAGTTAGTATACTTTGAGGGGGAAAATGAAAGAAAATTAATAATTTAACTTGAGATAAGCAAAAAAATTTGAAATTTTGCATAATGGTAGAACTAGTTGATTTATATTTATTTACAAAATTACAAAATTTTGTATCAAATATAGGCTAAGATAGAATTTTTAAAACTTTAATGCTTTTTCCGGAAAGGGGCGTGGTTTAAGGTATTTTTCCCTCTATTTTCTTCTATTAAATAGACTTTCCGGAAAATATGTATTTTTTTTGTATTTTCTCGAACAATTAAATATTTTCCGGAAAATATTTTTAATATTTTCCGGAAATGTTATCAAATAAAATTAAATAAATGTATTTTCCGGAAAATGTTTATTCTCTTCTTTTATTTATTTAAATGTATTTTCCGGAAACTCATTTTGTGTTTTGCCTTTTAAATAAAATTAATAATAAAAATTCCGGAAATTATTTCCGGAATTTCTTTTTCCTTCTAACCTTAATACTATTTTTTAGTTCTACTTCTGCGAAGGCAAGGATAATTCCCCTACAGTTTGGCGTCAATATATGTGCACATCTGGGCAAGTTTTTCACCCACAGCGACAAGAGTGTGTTTCTCCCAGCGAGTTTCAATGTCCTGTTAAAACACAGGTCGTTTTGGAATTTTTTGGAATTAAAAAAAATTTTTTAGTGTCAAGAAGGGGATTATTATTCTGTAGAGTGTGGAGATTTCTTTCTCTGTGTTCAGGGCAAATATATAATTGCTAAGTGTCCCGATTGGACTCAATGGAATGGGGAAGAAAAGCGTTGTGTTTATTCTGATATGTGTAGACGATTTAAGGCAAATTAAATTAATTTTCTGACAGCCAATGGGTCCTTTTTTAATTTTAACAGGACCAAAAACCTTCAACCGAATTTTCTGTGTGTTCTGATGGGGAGATACACCCCTCCTCAGATTGTAAAACCTTTGAGGAATGCCGATCTGGGTTTTGGAGTAAAAGGTCCTGCCATGAATATGCTAGTGATAAACTTAAAGGTGTTTCAAAAATAATAAATCTAAAACTCTCTATATAAGAGACACTCAATATAAGAGACAAAGATATATAAGAGATCCCTCTCTCTCTCACTCTCAAAATGCGAATGAGAGGCGGTTGGGGTCAGTTGAGCCCCGCCAGTTGAGCGCCAGAGAACTTTGATCGGCTATAACTTTTTAAGCCGTGATCCAATACAAATAAGTTTCATATCATTCTAAAGCCCTCATTAAGCGGTATCTTTTTTCCAACTGGGTGGATCAAGTCTGATCACCGGTTAAAAATTTATAAGTCGATAAGTGTGAAAAACAACGATTTCCTGCACTTATCGACTTGTAACTTTTTAGCCGGTGATCAGACTTGATCCATCCATTGGAAAAAAGATACCGCTTAACGAGGGCTTTCGAATGATATAATAATCATTAGGAGTGATTCAAGCACAAAAAAGTTATAGCCGATCAAAGTCGGCTGGCGCTCAACCGGCGGGGCTCAACTGGCCCGCTCCGAATGAGAGGTGTCCTACAGTAATCTTTTTGGAAACCTTCGTTATGAGAGTCTACTAGAATTTATTTTATCTAGTGACCGGTAAAATCGATTTTTCCGGAACCGGATCCGGATTCCGGATTTGCAACTTGAGCCGGACCGGATCCGGCCGGATTTTTCCGGATAAATCCGGTCCGGTTTTAATCCGGTAAAAATTATT